TTATGGAAAATTTCATTACGTTTTCAAAGAGTTTTTCCCGGGGTTTTATTCCCTTATTCCAAAACCCTACAATCAAATGGGGGAGACAGCTGTTTCCCGGGGGTCCCAGCTGGGACCAGTATATAGGGTTTAAAAACACTTCCCCCCCCAGACACTTTACCCTAAAGGCCCTTTTTTGGGAGACATTCCCCCAGACAGGTTTACCCCCATTTTTAAAAAAAATTTTTAAATTTAGAACTTACCCCTCTTTTTTTTTTTGTTTAAAAAAAATATTTTGTAGATAATGGTTTAAAAGTATTTAAAAGTGATTTAGTTTTTTAATTTTTTTAAAATATTTTTTTTATTAATTTTTTCAGTAAAATTTACCAAAGACAATTTGGGTTTTATAATTGGTTTTTTTGCCTTTAAAAAAAAGGGTCATATACAAAAATTATTAAATAAGTAATTTTTTATTTTTTTTTTTCTTTTAGGGATTTTTTTCCTATTTTTTAACCGGGAATTCGGTCATTTCCAATGAAAATAGTATAAATTTTCCAGGAAAAAATTCCCCTTGAAAATTACAAAATAAAAATATTTTAACAAAATTTTAAAATCTTTGGGAAAAACAAAGGGTTCTTCACTGTTAAGGTTTTAAAAAGTTTGAAGATGCTTCCAGACAGTTATTCCCTTTTATTCATTTAATAAGGGAAAATTTTAAATCACGCCCCTTTTTCCCCAAATTTTTTAAAAAAAATCGCTGAAAATTTCCCAAATTCCCTGGGTATGGGTATGGGCCAAAAACCCGGGAAAAAAACCCTCTTTATAAAATTTTATTTTTAATTTTAATTTAAGTGAAAGTGATAATTGAAAATCAAATTTTTTAAAAGAACATAATCCCTTTTGTTTAAGTGGGGTGAACCTTTTTATGAAAAATTTTTTGATTATATTGAACCAAACTGAATTTAAAACCCGAACGGCAGCACATAAACAAGTGAACCTGAAAGTTTAAATTAATTTTTTGTTAGCAAAAATTTTTTTAAACATATAAAGAAATAAAAATTGTTTTTTTTATTTTTACTTTAAGAAAATAAAATATTCATTTTTTATTCATTATTCTTTATATTTTTTAATTCTTTAATTTATATTATTTATTTTGTTTTTTCAAAACAATATTAATTCATTTTTTTTCATACAATATTTTATTCTTTACAGACACTATTATTTATTTATTCAAGTTATTTCATTTTTAATACAATAATTAACCTTTTTTAACCCAATTTTATAATCTAATCAATTTAGAGATAACTGTTGAATAACAACAAAATCAACAAGTGAATAAACAAGGTGAAAATGCAATAAACTTGATATACTGTGCTCCTCTTAGTTACGGGACTTTAATGGCTTTGAAACCAAAAGAACAACAAAGTGAAACTCTGTGCACAAAATTGTATTAGCTTATAAATATAGGTATTTCCTGCTGGTATGGCCAAGGAAACAAACAATATGTTCAATGAAAGTCAAATTTTAATGACAAACGTAGACCAAAGTGCGGCATTTTGAAACAAAGATGGGTCATCAATTTAAATCAACTGGTAATGGTGTTACATTTCAGTTTTTTTCATGTTTTCAGTTGAAATTTCTACATGTTATTTGGCTTGAATTTTAAATATTAAAAAATCTTACTGTAACTCAACATTAATATTTTCAACAAACAGAAACATTTAGAAAATGATGATTTTTTTCAGAATACGCAAAAATTAATGGATTATTGTTGCTTTAGGGCAGAAATTTGTAAAATGTTGTCTGTTTTACGTAAAAATCTAGAAATTTAAAATATGTTGCACTAAAACTTTGTTGTATAGGGTGTATGAATAAAATATGTCAATTCTGACCAATTTTAACACTGGTCACATGAAAATATGCCATTACCGTGAGATAAGTGATGACGCGAAATTAGTGATGTTGAGTATAATGGATGTGCTTTGTATAACAGTGGGCAATACGACGATCATGAATTCAGGCCAAGGACTGAATTTATGGACATTTATAAGAATGTGGTTTTTAGAACCAGTAAAATGCTATGTTTTATTGCATGTTATATGTAAATGATTTAAAGAAGTTATTACATGTGTAATAACATGTGATATTTGTTTCTGAATTATTTACTAAACAAATATTCATCTTTAGAAATGTCTGTAAATTTGTCCTTTAAAATTAAAATTATGAATCAAATTACATTATACTAAAAAATAATTAAAAACAAACACATGATAAAAAAGCATTTTATGGCTTATTTTAAGAAAAAATTGGATGAGGGGTGAAAGTGTTCTTACTTGATTTTGGGGGGTGAATGTCTTGAAGGGGGTGAAATTGTCTTCAAAAATTTGAGGGGTGAAGTGTCTGGAGGGTGAAGTGTCTTGCTACCGTATATACATGTCGGCGCGGGGAATACAATTGACGTACGATAAGTATTCATCTATTTTTAACATATCCCAAAGTCTGTGTTCGAGAAAATCAATGTTATGGATTCATAGTCAACATCCAAAGAGATGCATCTGAACAAATTTCTGGCCGTCTGTGCAAGCTTTACTTCCACATGAATTTGACTTAAAATAACCACAACTATCCGATGAGATGCGGTATTTTTAGTTTGAAGTCACAAAAATTATATTTTCTCATGAAAATTAATCCTTTTTCATACGATTTCGTAAACGTCAAACATATTCGTCATTAAACATTACCAAACATACCTTCAAAAAAGCTTTCTGTTAAAGTTATAAGGTATTTAAGTTGAGTGTCATCAAAATTTAGTAGTAACGTCAGAGTTGTTCGCCTCTTTTTAATGATAACATCGAGTCGATGTCGATTCGACAGCAATTCATCGGCAAGAACGAATAACGCTGAAAGCTGTTCAAAGAAACAATTACATGTATTAACAACAGCGCTTTTGCCATATAGTAACTAGGAAAGAGTAAAACTTTTTTCAGGGCTAGCACTGGCTAATTTTTTCTTTGAGCCAATTTTTCGCGTGACGGGCTGACATCAAAATTACTGTCTTTGCTGTTTTTCTTTAACAGTCTGTATGAACTTTACTATCTCTATAATTACTTTACATATAATGGTTTATTTATGCTATTTAATGAACACTTTAAAAGGCATGTGATATCAACAAAAACAAGGAATATCATTCAACTTTTTATTTTTTTAAGGTAAATTTAATAACATTAGCACAATCATTATATCATACATATCATATTCTCATACATAATATATTAATGCTTAACAATATCATATTATGCTACTTAGAATATACACATTTTAAAAATGCATGTAATAGTGGCTTGCATCAGGAAGGGGACTGCGATTCTGTTAACATGTGTTTGCAAGGATCAGGAAGGGGCTTGGCAATTTATTTCAGAAATTCTTTCTACTCTTGGATGTTGACCACAGTCTGAAGGCTCTTTTTGGTATGGGAATGTAGGGCAGAGAAGGGCCATCTCAATGGAAATTTTCAGGAGATTGTCAAGGGACGGGAGAGACAGACAGTTTCTGAGTTGAAGTTTTTATAAGGTTCTGTTTGGCAAGAAGCCCCTCTCACAATTCAAGCTCGTTGAACACAGGCAGAATCAGGAATCTCTGGGCAGCCTCTGCAGCAGCAGGATAACTGGACTTGTTCTGGATTGCTAAATTGCACATGAGTGCGAAATCAGTCATGTTGGTTGACCTTGGGACATCAGACCCTAAAGCCCTTAGAGCTAATGGACAAAGCTCAGAAGTTCATTCCTTCTCCCTTCAAAACCAACTTTGCCCAAATAATCTGAAACAGTGTCAATATCAGAGCCAACAGAAGAAAGGTGGGGATTGAAAAGATTCCCAAGGGCTTCATAACAGCTGAATCCTCATTGTCTGCAAATCTGGAATGGAGACTGGCTACCATTGAATCAACAAATTGGTCACAGACAGATGAAGCAACACGCCTCTGTTCAGCCAGAATCACGGAAGGGGGGGGAAGGGGGCGGATAGGGGGGGTGTGTGACTGAACTCAAAAGTACAAACAGACCATTTTCATCCAGACAAGGTTCAGAGGGGGCAGCTGAAAGAAAAGCAGAGAGGGAAGTACCATTTTTGTTCTCCTTCAGGCGTCTCCAAGGTGTGTACTCGTAGATGTCAGGAGTGGCTCCACTTTCTCCATAGTTTGAGATCTTTCTTCTGTACATTTTAGACAAAATAGCAAGGGGCTCAAGAACATCAGAAAAGAAAGTGGGCAACATACAGGAACTTGTACTGTAGCAACAGGTTTGCTATAGAGAAAGAGCCTTAGCAGAGTTTTCTTCAAGAAAGCAAGAAAGAGACTGGAGTAATTTTTGACCAGAGCACCAACTGCACCTTCAAAACTCAGCCATCTTGGTATGAAACACTTCCTGAAAGCGAAAAAGAATGCTTCTGTAACACAGACTGGATAGCAGAAAGAGTAGACATGTTTTTAGGAGAAAGATGAAAATATTTATAGATAGAGTTAAGGATCTCCTGAAATTTAACAAGGTAACGGTATGCAGTCTGCACACTGCTGCAGCTAAGAGCAAGACGGTGGGCAATGCAGTGAGAAGTAAGAGTCCAGGAACATCTTTCTTCAGACGGTCACCACACCACTTTTTAGAGCCTACCATTACTGCAGCACCATCTGTACAACACCACAAAGATTGGCAAGATCAAGGCCTTTCTCAGAAAGTAAAATGGAGAATTTTGGTGTAAATAGCATCTGCATTTGCCCTGTGGAGAGAAAGCAATGGAATACATAACAAGTTTTACTTTCTACATTTTTCAGCAATATCACAATCAAGTACCTAATGCTAACACAATTAAGTTTTGCTGCCCACAGAAATGTCTGTTGATTCATCAACAACATAAAGAAATATTTAGGAAATCTCTGTAATTTCACTGCCAGAGATCTTCTCGAAGAACACCAGCAAACAGTGCCTCCTGGAACTCTCCAATACTAGAGTGATGCTCATAATGTTGTCATGGTTGTCAACTCTCAAGTCTTTCAAACTGTGTTACACCCTAGAAAAAAAATTGGAATAACTGGAAACATGTATACAATGAAATGGACTTTCCTGTTACAGCGCAACATAAAATATAATGAATATATTTAAAATCACAAATGTTTATTTTAAAGCTGTCTTTTTGCTGTGTAAAAATTATTTTATCCACTCTATTGGAAAATCATTTTTTTTGTTGTGTTTTAAATGAATTGATGACAGAATACATAGAATTAACTAAGTGCGAGTAGGGCAAGTCTGAAATCATCGCAGCAGAAAATTTTGTTCCGTAACATTTTACTCTGTTTATGTACATCTTTATAAAATATTTCTTCTTGCTTTATAAAAAAATAAATAAAAAAATCCACATGATATTAATGACAATCTGAATACATACCTGCTTGATGCATAAATCATTCAGCTCTGGAACAACCACATTCGCTAGGTCATGTTTGGCTGCAAAATACACATTTCGTAGAGCAGAAGTGACAGCAGCCTCACTTTTTCCTAAAGCATTCTGTTGGGCTGTTTGCATGGTAACTGCCAGTGATTCTGCTTGTACACAATCTGTATGATCTGAAATAGCAAAATTTTAAATTAAAGAGGGATGAAAATATATACTGAATTAAAGAAATTATTCAGCAAACAATTCACAAGAAAGTTTTCATAAATAAATATGGCCAATTACCTTTGCATTTTGAATGCTTTGATACAGAGTCTTTTTTCAGAACTGTACAGCCAGATGTGAAAGAGTTTGTTTTTTTGTGTTTCAAACAAAGGTTACAAAGCATAGATTTTGTTTCATTATCATATTTCAACCAAGTTTTTCCAATTTTCCAACTTTCCTGGAAAGCTCTTGGAGCATCAAATTTTGTTTTTTTATTTGGCTGCTTATTTTCACAATCAGAGTTAAATTTACGTTTTGAAGCCATGATTCAATCTGATCAAAATAGGCAATTTGTGTGAGGAAAAAAACAGCAAGCATATATACCTTTACTGAATTACTCAAAATCCGTTTGATCTGTTTGATATTGAAAATAAAATTTAATTAATGCAAACTTACCGACACCTTCTTTAAATGTTTCCAGCTAAACATTGTCGTACTTTCTTTTGAATTTAAAGCCGCTAATTTGATTAGCGATAATCTTAAGGTACCGCTATTAATTGTTTAATATTTAGATCAATTATCCAGTGCATCTAACAATTCGGCACACAGCAATCATTGAAGTTTTCACGCCAATTAGTGTCATATTTATCACTTGTGTAAACAATACACAACACAAGGTCATTTTACTAGACTGTATTACTATTCGTATCGATTTTCTTTACTGAGAGGAAGTAACGTGCATAAACCAGTCAATGACCTTCAAAATCTAGACTGTATCGCGTGTTTTAAGATAAAAAGCAGTAAAACGGAAGCTGTAATTCGACAACCAGACCGTGTTTTCCCATTCTTAAAATAGCGGGATCTAAAATTAGACTGGATATTCCGAAAGTCATACTTTTCGTAAGTTTGAGCCAATTGCGATTTTCTTGAGCCAAATTAAATATTTTGGAGCCAATTTGCTCATTGGCTCCTGCCAGCGCGAGCCCTGTTTTTTGTTATACCCCCGCACAACAAAGTTGTAAGGGGGGTATACTGGAATCAGATTGTCCGTCCGGCCGTCTGGCCGTCCGGCGTCCGTCGGTTTTTTCTTGTCCGCCCAATAACTTAAGATTCCTTTGACCCACAGTCTTCATATTTGGCATGGAGGTTAGTCGTGATTAGTAGATGACCCCTATTGATTTTGAGGTCACCAGGTCAAAGGTCAAGGTCACAGGGGCCTTGACTTCAAAAAGCTTGTCCGCCCAATAACTTAAGATTCCTTTGACCCACAGTCTTCATATTTGGCATGGAGGTTAGTCATGATTAGTAGATGACCCTATCGATTTTGAGGTCACCAGGTCAAAGGTCAAGGTCACAGGGGCCTTGACTTCAAAAAGCTTGTCCGCCCAATAACTTAAGATTCCTTTGACCCACAGTCTTCATATTTGGCATGGAGGTTAGTTATGATAAGTAGATGACCCTATCGATTTTGAGGTCACCAGGTCAAAGGTCAAGGTCACAGGGCCTTGACTTCAAAAAAGCTTGTCCGCCCAATAACTTAAGATTCCTTTGACCCACAGTCTTCATATTTGGCATGGAGGTTAGTCATGATAAGTAGATTGACCCCTATCGATTTAAGGTCACCAGGTCAAAGGTCAAAGTCACAGGGGCCTTGACTTCAAAAGCTTGTCCGCCCAATTACTTAAGATTCCTTTGACCCATAGTCTTCATATTTGGCATGGAGGTTAGTCATGATTAGTAGATGACCCCTATCGATTTTGAGGTCACCAGGTCAAAGGTCAAGGTCACAGGGGCCTTGACTTCAAAAAGCTTGTCCGCCCAATAACTTAAGATTCCTTTGACCCACAGTTGATTCTGACAAAGTGGTATGCGGGGGTATTCATGCCATGATAGTGGCAGTTCTAGTTAATTTAGAATATTACTTTATTCATGATACTTTCTAATTATATTATTTTTATAATTACTTTCTATTATTTGTTATATCTTAACTTAGAGACCTTGATCTCCATTTACCGCACTGTATTTCAATATAAAAAGGTAGCAAAATCTATTAAAGGGACTCCACTAAGGTTTTTTGACATGACGGGACTGGAAATAATTTTTTGAGATTATTTCTCCATATGATGTAGATCTATACTAATAACTTATGTGCAAAATTTCCAATCATTAGCTTGCTCCGTTTTTCCAGAATATTATAATAGTGAAAAAATGACCCAAAATTGAAAAGTGTTTAAACGCTTTTCACTCAAATCGGACTGAGAATAGCACAAACATATGATTTCCAATGTGTTTCTCCTATATTTTTTGGTTATATTTTATTAATATTTATGTTTTAGTGCTCATGTTTTTCTGTGTGAAAAAATAAAATTTCATGTTTTAGGCTCATAAACCTCGATGGAGTTCCTGTAATAGGTTCATGAAATGTTTAAGTCAAAAGGCAAGGCAAATTTAACGCTTAATATGAATATTCAGGCTTGTAAATGAAGGCCTCCATCAAGTGTTATTATAAATAAAGGCATATAATGGACAAGTCCTATGCAGTGAATGGCTGTGTAACCCGAGATATGAAAGTGCATGGAAAAACACGTTGTTATTTATTCTTGAAATCTATTTTAATGTATAGTGCAATAGAGAATAATAACAATTCTTAAAATTTTATTTAAATTCTTATTTTTTAAATAAATCATTTTATATGGCAGACATCTCGGGTTAAACATCCATTTACTGCATGGGACATGTCTACTATATGCCATTATTTATGATAACGCTTGATGGATTTAGTTATAATACAGAGAATTCGTATTAAGCGTTTAATTTGCCTTTCCTTTCTTTGAATTTAACATTTCAGAAACATATTAATAGATCTTGCTACCTTCTTATATTATAATAATAATAATAAAAATAATATCTTTATTTAAAGAAGGTTATGCATTAATAACATACAATAACAATCATATATATCTTATTTCCAATGTGGCCTTCTGAAATAGAAAACAACAACAACAACACATCAACAGGACATGCATAGGAAGAAAAATGAATGTATAATATGTAATTTTTAGAATATTACAACTCATAAACTTTCTACAGACAATTTGTTTTAACATATACGTATATTGCATCATTCGTTCGTTCATTCGTTCATTAATTAATTCATTCATTCATTCAGTCATTCACTCACTCTTTCATTCATATGAACAATAACAATATTGAAATACAGTGCGGTAAATGGAGATAAAGGCCTCTCAGCTAAGATACAACAAATGAAAGAAAGTAATAATAAAAATAATTTAATAAGAAAGTATCATGAATAAAGTAATATTTTAAATGAACAAAAAAGTTTTACTTTTTCCTAGTTACTGTAGCACAAAAGCGCTGACAATTGTTTCTTTGAACAGCTTTCAGCGTTATTCATCCTTGTCGATGAATTGCTGTCGATGTTATATCGTATTGTTGATTGCACAGGCTAATTAGTCATACATGCTATATTCAAAAAGAATGACAAGTCAACATGTATATACATATATTAGGGTTTTTATTTCATAATGTGCACTATGGAACATGACATGATTTATGAGTATTATAGTGCAGGATGCATGCGGACTGAGCTTATGTCAAAATGATTAATATATGTACATGTAACTCTAAAACGCGTGTATTTATATACATTATAAAATGTCCTTATGACAGGTTGTCTTTATATATACTATTCTCAAATGTCCAGGGAGAAAGAGTTCGGCTTTGGTATTCCCCTCGTTCACTTGTGTGTTTGTATTTGTATATTAAAAGTATGTAACATCCGTGAGTTCTTTCTCCGTTATACGACAACGGTTGATTTGGCGCCTATTTCATATTAGAATAACATGTGTATACATACATGTTTCAACTGTCAACGCACAATCATTAAATAAAGTTTAAATTGGGATAAGTCTTATTGTCGAAATAAACTAAAGTTAATAGCTTAGTTAAAACTAACAAAATATGTCTAAAAAATTCAATATGAAAAGAAAAATTTTAAATATCAAGTATTACATAAATAAGATACTTACACTTAAGAACATCTTTCATTGGAATTCTTATCCTATGCATTTTATGACAGTTGTCTTGTTGTTCAAATATCTGAAAAAACAAAATTATGTTTATTGTATATAATATCTATTAACCGATCTGACAACGGACGAAAATGCAAAATATTGGTCTAACGATCACTTGTCGTCCAGCCAAGACAGAGAGGTGCGAGCGAATTCGCCGGTACAGTAAAACACCGCCTGACTAGAAATATTACAGTCAGCCTCTACGATGTCAACAGTCTACGATGCCAACAGTCTACGATGTAAACAGTCTACGATGTCAAACTATGTACAAAAAAAAACATGGAGACACACCTTCTTCGATGTAAAACCATGCAGATATAACCATAAACACCTTCTTCGATGTAAAATTATATGAAATAAGCGTCTACGATGTTTAAAATACATAACTATGCTGTTACAGCCGTCAACAACAACAACAACAAAATTGTGGTATCAAATAAACTTTTGTTCCTGTCTTCAACCAGAGAAGCCGAAAACTTCCGTTTATCAATAGAATGTGTTTCTCTATGTGTTATATAAACTTAAAAACAACAAGAGCTGTCGGTAGGACAGCATGCTCGACTATTCTTAGTGCTTGATAGTAAAAAAAATGCCTGATACAGTTACCTCCTCCTGTTTACAGGTTGGGGTCATGATGGTGAACAAGTGTGCAAAGTTTCAAAGCCATATGTCAATGGACTTTGAAAATATTTGAACTATTACAAAAACTTTAACGTAAATTCTAAGTCGAAAAAGGGGCATAATTCTGTCAAAATGCTTGATAGAGTTACCTCCTCCTGTTTACAGGTTGGGGTCATGATGGTGAACAAGTGTGCAAAGTTTCAAAGCCATATGTCAATGGACTTTGAAAATATTTGAACTATTACAAAAACTTTAACGTAAATTCTAAGTCGAAAAAGGGGCATAATTCTGTCAAAATGCTTAATAGAGTTACCTCCTGCTGTCTACAGGTTGGGGTCATGATGTTAAACAAGTGTGCAAAGTTTCAAAGCCATATGTCTATGGACTTTGAAAATATTTGAACTATTACAAAAACTTTAACGGAAATTCTAAGTCGAAAAAGGGGCATAATTCTGTCAAAATGCTTGATAGAGTTACCTCCTCCTGTCTACAGGTTGGGGTCATGATGGTGAACAAGTGTGCAAAGTTTCAAAGCCATATGTCAATGGACTTTGAAAATATTTGAACTATTACAAAAACTTTAACGTAAATTCTAAGTCGAAAAAGGGGCATAATTCTGTCAAAATACTTGATAGAGTTACCTCCTCCTGTCTACAGGTTGGGGTCATGATGTTGAACAAGTGTGCAAAGTTTCAAAGCCATATGTCAATGGACTTTGAAAATATTTGAACTATTACAAAAACTTTAACGTAAATTCTAAGTCGAAAAAGGGGCATAATTCTGTCAAAATGCTTGATAGAGTTACCTCCTCCTGTCTACAGGTTGGGGTCATGATGGTGAACAAGTGTGCAAAGTTTCAAAGCCATATGTCAATGGACTTTGAAAATATTTGAACTATTACAAAAACTTTAACATAAGTGGTTACGCCGACGCCGACGCTCGGGTGACTGCAATAGCTCTACTTATTCTTATCGAATAGTCGAGCTAAAAACCCAGAGAAATACTGATGACAACTTCTTATCAAAATAATTATTTGTGCGCGACAGAGATATCCAAAATAAATATCACATAAACATTTGCAAGAATCGTGCAACAGCAAACTGTTAATTTAATTATCTTTTACTCAAAAACATTGCTACATAAATGAAGAATTATAGATCTATCATCACTTTGTTGTATTGTTCAATACAAGACATTCTTTTTACAACGACGAAACAAGAACAGCGTTTACAGATGTGCCAATAAATATTCGAATATAACTTTATCAACTTGTGT